AGGCAAGATTTTAAAAAGATTTTGTATAAGATCTTATGCAAAAACTTACGTATGATAATCGACCTTGTAAGTTCTTGCATAAGATCTTGATAAAATTGTAAGACATCTGGTAGCAAGTTCTTGTATAAGATCTTGATAAAATAGTAAAACTTCATCACAATCATGAAATTCAAATTATATAAGAACTTGTTATTTCAAGTCTAGTAATGAAATCAAAAACTCTCCTAAGAATTTGCTACCTGAAGTCTTCCAGTTTTATCAAGATCTTATATAAGAACTTGCGACTAGATGTCTTAAAATTTTATCAAGATCTTTTTAAAATCTTGCCTAAGAACTTATAAAATATTTTCATTGGGGGGACCCGACATCCAGCCGGACTCAGACATAACCTCGCCCCACGGCATCGAGCAGCCAGCAGGCATGGCATCGCAGCGTCGCATCGAAGACGTCGTAAGCGTTTAGTAATTTGTAGTAATCATTCTTGGTCGGTCGTGTGAGTGTAGAGTGTAGCGCATTGTACGTCGCTGAGTGTGTGTGTGTGAAGTAGTACGTCGCGTAGTAGATTAAGTCGAGTAAAGAATTTGTTATTGCGTAACGAGAGTTATCCGAGGCGAGCAAGTCGCTTGTACGTCGCGTGCGTTCGATTGTCGGTCATCAGCCATCTTTGTATTTCGTCGTCACCGCGAGCACGGAATCCGTAGAGCCGTCGCAGGCTGAATGTTGCGAAGTCACTTCCGCTTAGTGGTTAAGCGCGCGTCACGACATCGGGATCCGAGCAGGGCACGTGTTGTGAATCTGTGATTCCCCTTGGACTTTAGCGAGCGAACTCACGTGGTATTAGTATTCGCGTACAGTGACGCAGAGACGCGCGAGTGCAAGTGCGCGGCACGAGATCGGGATTCAAGCCAAGAGCGTGTTGTGACTCGACAGTTTCCCCTTGAACTTCGTCACGCGAGTACCCTTACGGTCATTGGACATCACTTTGCGTCGATTGTTGATATTGTCTTGATAATTAATCGCGATTGAGTAGTAATTTAGGAATCTTTGCAAATTAATAGAAGAATAATAACTTTGACTTGAATATATAAGTAGGTGACTTTGATTTAACGTATTTCCCTCTTGTGGTCATTTTGCGAACCTTTTCCAACCTTTTCAGCACGGAATCGCCGACGCTCGAGGCACACTCGGTGGAAGGCTTGACCCCCTTTTGAGGTAAGACGACCTAATAGGCTAACCGGAGCCTTAGTGATAAATAATTAGACTGCAGGGCGAGCACAGGCTACGGCCCAGACCCTCGCACGTCACAATATGTACCTTAATACGTAAATACAAGATATTTATTGTTTATATATATTGTAAAAATACAAGGTTTTTCTTATATATGAGCAATTCCAGAATTTAGTTTCCAATTTTTCGACTAAAAACGGAAAAAATTGTTTTCGTTGGACGCATACTATGAACATTGGGTTTGTTCTTGAAAGTCCTAGGAAGCTAACAAAATGCGTGAACATGATATTTAAAGATAGTTAATTTTTTTCTGGCTACTTTTGTGTTTTAGGGCCCAAAAAGTCATGTTTTGGCGTAAATACGACAATTCACTCAATTTCTAAGTGGCTGAAAAAGTATCAAAACTCATTTAAAAAAAATGACTGACTACTCCATTCGATAGGAAATTTTCTCAGCTTTCCGATGGTGATATCAGATTTTTCGATACATTGCATATTCACCGAGAAAATCATCACCAAACATGCCGAGCTAAATATCTTGAAAAAATCAGTACAGAAAAATAGCTTATTATGGTTTCTTTTTGATTTTTTCTTATGAAAATTGAATATTTCGGAAAGTCTGATACTGCCATGAAAAAGCTGATGAAAAATCCAATCGAAGCCATATCTTCATTTATTTTTTCCGTCCGTATACAAGGTATATATATTGTAAATACAAGGTATATATTGTAACGATGTTACGGGCGACGAGCGCGAGCCGTTACGCAAAAATGCTGTGTGTATGCGTGTGACGCGCGGCCGACCAACTGACCGTGCAGGGTGAAGGAAGAGCCGAGCGCTTATAACCTCCATGTGCCGCGGCAGCGTAGGCACGTGCTCGACGGTTACCGACCGAACGAGCGGCGCGGCGACGAGCCGCAACTCGAGCAGCAGCAGCGGCAGCAGCACGGAAGACGAAGCGAGGAAGAAGAAGGCACGTGAAGCGACGCGATTACGACGACGACTGCGTATCGTGCGAGTGCGAACCACAAAGTCCGAGGCTAAAAAGCGAGTTTGAGTGCAGCAAAGAAGTCGATTAAAACGAGTGATCGTCGCATAGCGTGGTAGAGAGAGAGAGAACGAGAGTGAAATCGAGAAGAGAGAAGCTGTGTCCGAGGCGAGTGCGCGAGAAAAAAAACCAAGTCGTGTGCGTACGAGCGAGGTTAAGTCAACCGAGTGCGCGACGACGACGAGCATCGCGACTCGCATACCCGAAGTGCTGTGTGTGCCTGTGGAGTGCGCAGCCTGCATCGTGCGATTACCGGCGTGGCAACAGAGACCAATCAGTAGTGCGAGGCTACGACGGGACGGACAGTCCACCGTGAACGGCGCCAACCCACGTGCGGATTGCGAGGCCGCTCAGCGATTGAGACACGGCGCCGGTCCACGAGCCGATTCGCAGCACGAGTCGACGAGTGAGCAGCGGCCGATCCACCACACCAGGACTCGGACAAGTCTGCAGCGTACCGCGAGCGGACAACGGCATGACGTATTCGGACCGAGTCGAGGAGATTGTAAGCGTTTAACCTGTACCTCCTAGTCTTGGTCGGTCGTGTATGTGCGTAAGCGTGCTGTGTGCCGCATGACGTGGAACGAGCGAAGAGTCGGTCGCGTAGTAAATAAGTCGAGTCGAAGCATTGTCATTGTGTGTATGTGATTGGTCCGAGGCGAACAAGTCGCAATTACGTCGCGCGCGTTTCGAGTTTGTAAGCGGCCATTTCGCAGTCCGTCGTATCCGCTCGCGCGAAAGCAGCGAAGCCGTCGCAGGCCGAGCCACGTTAAGTCAAGTCCGCGTGTTATTAAGGTCGCGTCACGAAAACGGGATTCGAACCGGGCACGTGTCGTGACTCGATGAGTCCCCTTGGACTTTCGCGAGCGAACTCACGCGACATAAGGCTTCGCGCATAGCGAGTCAGAGACGCGCGAGTGCAGGTGCGCGGCACGATATCGGGATTCGAACCGAGCTCGTATTGTGACTCGACGTTTTTCCACTTGGACCTTATTGCACGAAGCCCGTATGGTATTGTGACGGCACTAAAGTAATTGTCAGACTTTCCTTTGTCATTTATCTACATTTGAGTAATACTTCGACGATCTTTCTTAATTAATAGAATAAATAGTAACTTAACGTAAGACAATAAACGATTGATTTGGATTTAAACTAACTCCCTCTGGTGGTCATTTCGCGAACCTTTCCGACTTTTCAGCACACAATCGCCGACGCTCGAGGCACATTTGGTGGAGGGCTCGACCCCCTTTGAGGTAAGACGACCAGTTAGGCTAACCGGAGCCTCCGAAATAAATAATTAGACGGCAGGGCGAGCACAGGCTGCTGCCTAGACCCTCGCACGTCACAATATATATGTGGCATTTCACGTCAACTCTCCCAGTGCCGCGCGGCGCGGCAGAATTAAGCCAAATCACTCAATTTGTGAATCGCTGTAAAAGTACTAAAATGCACCTAGAGAAAAAAACGAACCCATGATATCGATCGGAAATCGCCTCAGCTTTCCGATGAAAAGGTCAGATTTTCCAACATTTTCCGCTTTACCCGGGAAAATCGCTGGAAAAACTTTAAAGTCGATTATCTCAAAAACGTCATTTTTAAGATTTTTTTAAATAGTCTAGATCGAAAGATCAGGAAATTTTCCATCGATATAGACATTTTCCAGAGAGGCGTTTTTTGATTTTAGCGATATATAGCGAGAGAAAGAAGAAAAAACGTGGTTTTTTCCCACGTTGGTGGCGTCCGACCGCCCGCGCACGTCGGCACTAGGAGAGTTGACGTGAAATGCCACATATAATAAAATTATTTTTTTTTTTAGTCATCTATTTTCCAGACTTGTTCGGGAGACCAGAATTTTTGCGCGAGATTCATTCAACGCGTAATATATGGAAGAAGATATTGTATGTTCTCCAAAAAGGTAAAAATAGCTTTAGTGTTCTTCATACTTGCGGCACGCAGAGCTTATGGGAGTACCAGTTCTTTTCCGGCGGAGAACAGTATAAATACGGGGCGAAAACACACCACAGAGGACCAGTATTCTCTACTCGTTAAAAAAAGTTTTTCTGGTCTGTGCTATTTCTGCTGTCAGTTTAGTAAGAAGACTCGTAGAAACATTCTGAGGCCTTAGATTTGTAGGTTTTTTCAAGACCTTTAAATCCTTTTAACCGCAAAGATACAGCCCTTTTACTGCAAAACGACACTTTTTTCATTCATGTGTACATACAGTTTTGTGAATTTTTTATTTGAAGTAGTGGTTCGAAAATTCTATAAAAATTCTCTGAGATACTTTGATAGTCGTGATCACCTCTGATCATATTTAAATCGTGATTCCATAACGGTAACACGGCGAAAAAAAGGCGAAAACTTGATTTTTTGTAAAAATTTTTACGTTTTTTTTTGTTTAAGTAGCCATAACTTTTTTATTACGCAAAAAATCAAAATTTTGAGCTCAGTTTCTAAATCTAATGGGTTAACCCACTAACGCTCAAAGTCCTATAATTTCAGAAAATATAGGCTTAAGCACGGATTATTAGCACGAAATATAGAGCTAAATCTAAAACCTGATCAGGATCAGTTTTACTAAATTAAGCACCTAGTCTGAACCAAAACTGCGCCGGAATTATTTCTAGTCGGGTAGGGGGAGCTTCGGTTAATTCGCTCTCTCCCACCTTGGGTAATCTATGAGTATTCAACTTCCCAAGTGAACATAAAAAGAACTTTTCTTAATCGTCCAAAAACTAGCACCTAAACTATTGTTCATATTCCCAATACTCTGTTTCATACCAGTGAATTGGCCCTAGCAAATTGAATTAGTGTACAATTAAGTTTTTTCAATTCCAATCATCATCATTAATTATTAAGGATAACTATTAATGATTACTTCAGTATTAAACAATGATATAATAATGAATAGAAAGTAATTTACATTTAATTTCAGATATATTTTACAAGTTAACATGAAATTAAATTTATAGACCTGTCTTACTTGCTTGAAACCCAAGAAGATAATTCATAGAACTGAATTAAAAAAGTTTGAAAAAAGCATTATACTAGACAGTTAAAAAAAACATTTTAATTAATACAATGTCAAAACAACATGATAAACGTGAAGCAAGAAGAATGAAAATACTCAACAATTCTAAAGATCGCTGGAATAAAATAAATGGAAGTAGTTCAGAAATATCTTATAAAGGTACTTTTATGGGTTTATTAACTGATAAATAGAAACACATTAAAATTCTCTCTAAATAATTATTGTAATAATATACTCCATAAAAATGGTAGTTGAACTTAATTCATAATTTCCTTTGAAGATATCAAATTTGATAATGATTAATTTAAGTCTAAACACATTTTTAATTATATTTATTAATTAATAATTATTTCATTAATGAATGATTAACCTATAACGGAGTTTACGGTTGCCAGTAGAGAATGTCAAAAATGTTGGAAACTCCACTGTAGAAAAATTGTACTATATTTTTCTAAATTACCTTTATAACCTTGAAATGGAAAAGAAAATACAATTACTTCAAGCACAAAATTAACTTGCATATTAATTGTAATAGTGGTTGTATTAAGCAAGATCTCATAATGCATATTAAGATTCATTTGGAATTAAAATTATGATTATTTTTAATTCAATACATGCCAATATTTCTATAGATTATATAAAAAATTCCAGCTATTGAAATAATATATTTTTCTGTGTACTCAAATGATAAAAAAATTAAAAAGCAAGTACATTAACAATTTAAACAATATAATTCAAGTTCAAGTATGAAAACAAATCGAATTAAAACTAGAAATTCATACACAGCTATTTAAAAAAACCAGTTATAGGTAAAATTTCAATATTAATCACACAATTTAATTTTGAAATTAAAACCCACGTAATTTATAATTCAATTGCTATAAATCCCAAAAATTAAATAAAATCTAAACAAGTAAACAATTAAATAAATAACAGTGCAAATCAGAAAAGTCAAATATAATTACAGTTTAAAATTGTATCTTAAGAACCCTGAAGTATCACACCTGTCAATTATATTATCCAGAATCCATTGTTTATAAAAGCATCATAATTGAAACTTCAGAATCCTCCTCCTTGGTTGAATTTTCTTCTAGGAATTTTATTTGATCTTCATTGATTTTAAATGTTGTTTTTTTAATTGAATTCTTAACTTCCACAGGATTTCATTTCATTTTGGGATTTTTTCAAATTTAGTTCTCTGAATTGAATGGAAATTTACTTTTGGAATTGTATTGTTAAATTTTTAAGAATTTCATTTTCTTATGTTTCACTTTCAACTGTTGTTCTTGAGACAATACCGTGGCCTCGGATTTTACCGACCAAGCTTTGAAAACGTAAATTTAAAAAACCTTTTTTTTTATCGATTTTTGAAAAAAAGCACTGTAGAGCCCCTTCATACTCTTGCTGTGAATAATTATATTAAATTAAATTTCATTTTATTGAGTAGGTTTTTTGGAAAACCGAATCGAAATCTTAAAATCGGAAATAAAAAATTTTGATCCTGTTTTTCGAAAATCGATCTAGAAAAAAAATTATTCAAATTGAAATTTTCAGAACTTACAAGATTGAAATTATCAAATTCAAATTAAAACGAGGCGATAAATAATCATACAGATACAGGTTGTTCCTGCAAATTTCTAAACAAGAAAAAGGCGATTTCATTTTCTGCATCTCAAATTACTTTACAATGTCCCGTCGAATTTTTGATACAAATATTTTATTCTAACAAAATATTTTACAGGATGTCGAATATGGATATCAAGTCGGTCTTCAAAAAATTAAACTCTATTTGAAAAAAGTACATTATATGATGTACATATTTTTGTTCCTTTTTTACCTTGTTACATTATTTTTATGCATAAAATCGAAAATTTGTGTTCTCCTGAAAAACTATGGTAAAAAGGCCAGAAAAAAATTTTTTTTTTTTTCATAAAAAAAATTTCACGTTGAAAAGTTTTAAATTGATATTAATATTCATGATATAATGTTTGGAAGGAAATGTGGTTTTGAAAAATTTGGCTCCATTTTAAATGATACCCTGAACCTCGTTAGCCCAGTTGTAAATAGTTGCATGGATTTCTTCGTGGATTAGCTGCTAGGAAACATCATGGAAAGTACATAAATTTTTCGAGGACAGATAATAGATTCCACGTCGATTTTTGCCAGATTATCCATAAGGATTTCTTCCCGCTACAAATCCCCCTGCCCCCCTTTTGAACGCACCCTGGGGTTGTGAGAATCGAGTTTGGCAAATGATACAAGCAGCCGCTTGTGACAGCTGTGATTCTAAGTGTTGTGGTACAAGTCTGCCAAAGCTCTCAGTGCAGATGACTACATTTCATTATTCATATTATTATTTTGTTTTTTTTGTGGTTATTCACCTTCTTGTTATTACGTAACATTTGCATTTGCCACAGTTTTGTTTCTTACATAAGCTATCTTATAATCTAGTCAAAATATTTTTATTTCATTTCTATCAATCTGTACCTCTATCTTTTTTATTATATTTTTATTATATTTTTTCATACGATATCTATTATATTATTATATAGTCATTGAGTAATATTTATTCAAAAAACAATTTTCAAATTTTCACATTACATTTTAATTTTATATTTGAATACACAAGTAGTTTATTTGCTTCTTTTTCAATTTTGCAACTGTGACGGTGAACTCCCCGTGCTCACCGCCTGCGCGAGCTTCACAAGTCTGGCCAGCTTTGACGATTAACGACGCGCCAGACGAGCGGATGCTCGTCGCCGACCAGAGTCCGGCTAGCTAGATGGGAGGAAAAAGGGCACGAAATTACCTCGAGGTCGTAGGCACGGTTTTCCTCTGAGAGGAGACGCTGACGGGTAGGGTACGGGGACTCCGTTGGCTGCAACACTGCACCTGAAAACGTACCTGCAAACAAGAAAGTCCGCGAGAGAGAGCAGAAAAGAATATGAAGGGTTGTCCGAATAATAACACAAAGAATTAAAGTTAACAATAATATAAGGCTTTATTTAATCTACTCTGAACTGATCATTTACTCGGAGCCGAAGCTCACACACTCACACTTGGTCGCGCACGCGAGCTGCGTTGCCGTTTGAGGGTCGGCGCGGGGCACGATAAGACAATCAAACTACTCACGTTGCTCCTCGCTCACTAGGTTCGCGACCACACGGGTAGACTCCGCGTCGCCGGAATCTCACAAACTCGAGCTGCTCTGCTCACAATCGTCTGTTGGCCACAGAAAATCATATGGTTAATTATGCCAATACATCATATGATTTTTTTCAGCAGGGTACTGATACAATTGAAATAAACTGCATGTATTGTCGATTGATTTGAGAATTAAGCCTGAAAAAGTTTTATTTAAATCCGTTCTCCGTAAATTCTTTTAATTTAAATTAAATTTTTTTTATTAATTCTTAAAAAGGGAAATAAAAATTTTTTCAATTTCAAGCCTCCTTTGAGCACTTAAGTGATTGAATTATTTGAGCACTGATTTCCAAAGACTAGCAGTTTAACTTCAATGTAAGAAAAAAAACGTTAAAATTCATCGATTAATCGCATAGTTACTTTGTAAAGGTTAAAATGTTTCTTTTCTTTTTTTAAAAATTTAATTAAAGATTTTTACAAAGTTAAAGCTAAAGTTGTTTTGCGAATATATAATTAGTGATTAAAACAAAAAGAGCAGCAAAAATTCAATTTTTATCAGCAATTATAAATAGAAATAGGAACGATACTTGTTTTTTATTTGAAAACTCTGCCAATGTTTGGCAGCGGTTTTTTTATGTTTCAGGCATTCGAAAAACTCTTTAATTTATAGTAGATATCGTTTTTGGGAAATGGGATGGTTCCCATTTTACGGAAATTGTTGGAGGTTTTTTTTGTGATCTATTCCAAAAACTATTGCCCTTTCAACTTTTTTTATAAACTCAAATATTTTCGAGATAAAAAATGAACCTTACGCTTTTTATTGGTTTCCGCAACATTAATTTTTCAAGTAAGCATTAAATTAGTTGGATAAAAAAATTAATTCGTTACCATCGGACTGAAACTTTTGGTGGTTGTTTATTCAAGTCATCCCCGATTGACCCTTAACATTTCAGCCTAGATCCGCGTGCCAATTCTCCAGGAGTTTCAATCCGAAAATTGATATTTTAATACGGTTCTTATCAGAGGCTGACGAAATTTGAGAATGAAATGACTATAACTTGATAAATTATGTTACGAGGGACATGAAAAACTATTCATAAGAAGACTAAATCATTTCGAATAGGGCATTAAAAAATATAGTGCTTCGTGCTTTCAACGAAAACGATTCGTTGAAGTATTCAACGATCAAAGTATAAAATCATGGTATTTTGGCTTATGTCGCTTTCTAACCCACTTCTAGCTCGCGCATAAGCCAGCTGCGCATGCCGAAAGTACTCAAAAAGGTACTGTCGTTATAATGATCACCCAACTACCTTAAAGCCTCGAACGTAGAAAAAATCGCATTTTCAATCAGTGCAAAATTCCGTTATTCTGAGTACTCACGAGTTCAGAAGAAATGAGTAAATTGCTGATTAAAATCTTAGCAATATATCATTAGACAACGAACTATTATAAGACTCTGCTCAAATCTATCTGAATCTGTAACATTCAGATATGAATATGATTTTTGTAACCACGATTGTTAAAAATAAATAATACTTAAATTATCTCATTACAGATAGTGTTCTTGTCAAAGATGTACCTAAATTACCAGAAACAGTTTTTGGACGCCCTTTACCAGATGACGAGATTCATGATTGTGATGTTTTTGAAGTAGTTTCAGATGAAGTACAGACGATTACTGAAGAAAATCAAAACCGTTCACTTTTAATGTCATTTTTACAATCATATTACATAAAACATGATTTGTTTCTTAGCATTTTTATTGCTGGTTTTATGAGTTACGTTTTCATCAAATGGAAATCTTTATACAAGGTAAACACTTAAATAATATGTCTTTATTTTGATTGTGATTCATTTTTTTTATTACAACTTACAGATCTTCACTGTGTTGTACTATATTGTTTTCATTATGAAAGAGTGCAAAGATTTAGAAATGAAGAAACAGGGAGCGGACAAATACAAAACTTTTATTTTATACTTCGGCCTGACCGAGAATCGATTATTCCCGATTTTGAAAGATATGATGATTATCAGCAATTTTATACGCTATCAGTGTTCAATTTATATTCTAAGCTTAATCCTTGCACAGAAAACTTTAGAAATTTTTATAAATAATCATGAATTTTTGTCTTTTAATATTTGAAGAAAATAAATATAATTAATGACTATAAAATTATTTTATTATTTATATAGGTTCAACAATGTAACAATAAAAAGTTATTTTAAGTTTTCTGAGCTCTTCAAGGCTTCACATTTAATAGTAAATTAATCTTTTTTTTTCAATTTTCTGAGTGAGTTTATTTTCTTTAGAATATCATCGTTACCTTCAGATATCATTTTTTTTTCCCACATCATCATTTTTTCTTTATATAGAGTTAAAGCTTGATTAGCTTCATCTTCGTACAATTTTTTAATGTGATAAGGTGTGCTTTTCCATTTTTCCCCTACGCTCTTCAACCATTCCTGTAAATTCATTTCATTTTATTAAATTATTTATCAAATTATTTATTAATTAATTATTATTTTTCATTTTGATATTTTATGCCTACTCCTTTTTATGATTGAAAAACATAAAAATATAAATTCATTAACTTAAACCATTTTTTAAGCAAATATTTTCAGATCCTCATTCCATTCAAAACTTATAATTCTAAAAAATTGCTTATTTTTAAAATAGTACTTTACGATAAAAGTGTCTCCATGGCACGAGTATCGCACGACATTTTATAGCACTGGGCTAATTTCACATTTATGACCCTTTTTTTGAGTCATGAGTCGCACTTTCTGGTAGCTCGAAGTGAGGTTAACACACGAGTATAATAATATAATCATGCTTCAGAAATAAATCACAGCAAAATCTCTTGGCGTCGGGTTGACCGATTGGGCTGAAAGTATTCAGGGCTTGTTTTACATGTTAATAGGAGTTTCTTTGTACACTTTTAGCCCTCTAGGTGCCTTAGAAACAAAGATATAGTCATAGGAAGGTTGAAAAACGACGTTACATTAATTTTTTTTCGTGCTATTTCTATCTTTGTACACCTGAACGTTGCGTAATTTTGCTGCTATTGAGACGAACAAGTAACCAATCTTTTTGTATTTTAAAGACCTTTTTAACCATATAAGTTTGTTAGGGCTTTCTAAATTTTTATTGAAGTTACAATATAAAACGTCTAAACTTTTGTGTCGCGATCGAAACTATATTTGTTATTATATTTTCGGTTTGATAAGAGTTACACATGCTAGACAAACTTGAACCTCAATGATAGTTATATAGTCTCAAAGGGCATAAAATTACCTTTAATTTGGTGTATGTAAAAAGTTTTTATGTCCTCTAGAACCGAAGATACAGCTGTTTGAAGTTTTATTGAAAATTCAAGTACTAACTCTGTGAATTTATCATAGACCGGATATGGTAAGATCATCACAGAATTGAATCTTGAATTTTCAGTAAAACTTCAAACAGCTGTATCTTCGGTTCTAGAGGACTTGAAAACTTTTTACATACACCAAATTAAAGGTAATTTTATGCTCTTCAAGACCATATAACTATCATTTGGGTTCAAGTTTGTCTAGCATGTGTAACTCTTATCAAACCGAAAATATAATAACAAATGTAGTTTCGATCGCGACACGAAAGTTTAGACGTTTTATATTGTAACTTCAATAAAAATTTAGAAAGCCCTATACAAACTTATATGGTTAAAAAGGTCTTTAAAATACAAAAAGATTGGTTACTTGTTCGTCTCAATAGCAGCAAAATTACGCAACGTTCAGGTGTACAAAGATAGAAATAGCACGAAAAAAAATTAATGTAACGTCGTTTTTCAACCTTCCTATGACTATATCTTTGTTTCTAAGGCACTTAGAGGGCTAAAATTTTACAAAGAAACTCCTGTTAACATGTAAAACAAGTCCTGAATACATTCAGCCCAATCGGTCTACCCGACGTCGAGAGACTTTGCTGTGATTTATTTCTGAAGCATGATTATATTGTTTTTACGAAATTCAAACTTCAAGCTTCATGCGTTAACTGAAGATATCATTTGTATGCGCCTACTTCACGGCTTTTCTCTTTTTTTTGAGTTATACTAACGTTCTATTGCTATTAGAAAGCGATCGGCGACAAAAGGGGTTTTTCACTCCGCCATAGTGTGGGTCTCCCCACCCCTCATCTTAACTGAAATCGAATCGATTTGAGGCATTTTTTGTACTTCAAATGGTATCTTCAAAACGGCCTACAGGGTGTAAAAAATCTTAGAGAACTTTCTCTTTAATTACTCGTTTGATTTGGATAGGCCAATGACTGTAGTCTAGGTACTCGTTAAAGCAATCAATTTTTTCCGTCATTTTAGATGTTATGCTAAAAAGCGTCTGGCAACTCGATTTTGACTCCAACTTATTCCAAATATTTACATAATAACGTACAAAAATATTTATCTTAAAATATTTATTTTGTTTTTTTTTTTCAAAGTCATTTTGCGGGCGCTACAGTTACAAAAAAGTCCTTACTAAAGCTTAATTTTAAGTTAAATAGTGGTTTTATTATATGTAGAGCGCTTAAAATGACCTTGAAAAAATGAAATACATGTTCAATGTAAAATTTTCCGATCTTTTCAAATCTGCAATAAAAAAAGGAGGTTTCCATTTGAAAAATCGATTTTTGGTTCGCTGTAGCGTAGAGATTATATTCAAGGTCACCATTGAAGTTTCGGTAAAAAAATCCGTCGCATATGATGTTTTTTATTTTTTTCCCCGCTTATTTTCGGAGATTTCCAAGGGTTTCTATATTTACTCCTCACCTCGTATAAAAAAATTCATCAAATATTCATAGTCATATTCATTAAATATTAAATATTCAAAATTTTACAGTAAAACAATTGAAGTTCATAGAAATTTTTGAGTCCGATTTAAAAAAAAAAAAAAAGCTATAGTAATATCATATTAGTGCTATAGTAATACTACTATAAAAAAATGATTATAACAGTACTATAAAAGTACTATACAGTACTATTATAGTACTTTTTATTTAGAAATCGAAATCAAAAATTTTGAGGATCCAAGCACTTTTTTCAGCTTCACTGCGTAATACATAGGATTTAAAAAATGTGTATCCCCTTAGGTAGAGTCAATTTCAACGAGACATTTTACATATCTACGAACGTTATATTCCAAACGATCTACAGGCCACAAAATAATCGTTCAGAACACTTCTTTAATTTGTCTTGAAAAAAAGGACTTTGCGATAGTTATATTTGATTTGATGTTTGATTTGGACAAATAAACTGCTGTAAATCAGGTACATAATTGAATAATCCATTTTTTCTGGTGTATGTGGTGTTACGCTTGAATACGACTGTGAATTCGAAATTGACTTGAACCTATTCGTAATGTAAGGGCCGATTCTCAGTGTAGTCAAATGACTATAACAATTTTTACTGCAAATATGAATAACGTGTTGCACGTGTAAATGCTCAGGTCACTATGAATTATATTTCTTTTTAAACATTCGGAGAATTTCTAACAAAAAAGTTCTCTTGCATTCTCACTTTTGAATTACTCTGTACGGAGCTGAGAATTATTTTAGTATTTGCAATAATCATGAACTTTGGGCAATATTCAAAAAATTTCAACTTTGGGTCTTTCAAAAATAATGATGGACAGTCCCAAAAATTCTAATAAAATTTGCGAATATTTTAGATATTGGAAACAAGTTTTTCATATTTGCAGAAATTTTTTTTTTTTTTTTAATAATTCTACGTTCCTAAGAATTACCCATATGATCTTAAACTTAAAATTTCCAAGCGATCAGAAAAAAATCGTGTTGATCAAAATCAACGGAGATATAAGCATTTGACTATTGACGAAATTTCAATAAAAAATGTTGTAGCCATAATTTTGTCGAGGAATGTAGGGTAAACCGTCCAGTGAATGGCCACCCACCAGTGAATGACCGCTCGATGAATCATTACTTATAAATTGAATACACGAATGTTAATTCAATTTATAATATTTTCACAACATTAAGCTATGTTATACGTAGAGTTTTAGTCAACTTTTGACTGATACAAATTGTATTATCTACAAATAAATGAATATAGAAATTCTTTTGGTGGTTATTAATTAGATGAGGCGTCGATTTACATAAAACCAGAAAATGACCAAATTTTTAAGAATATAATCATATACAGGTTAGGTTTGCCAATAATCTACTTCTACTAATTTTTGCATAAAATCAATTTAAACAGAACCATTTGACCAATACTGTACCAATAACAATGATTTATGATTAGATTCGATTATTAAAACAAAAGGCAACGTTTAATTTCGATAAAACCTTGTAGAAAAGTATATTGGGCATTCACTGGTTATCGCCTGGTTATTTATTGGAGAAAGTTGTCATTCACTAGCGTTTTCGTGGTGACTCATAAAATAGTCATTTTTAATAATATTAACGATGTTAAGATGATTTTTAAATATTTTTAATCGATACATCATTTAATCAGCTACGCGAAGAACAATTCAGTCTTTTTTTTTTTAATTGCAACCTCTAAATTTTCCTAGATATTCAAACATTGAAAAATAACAATTCGGTCATTCAGTGGACAATTTATCATATTTTCATATAATATTACCCGCTGCCTATCATTCACATAGAATTCAAGCGTGATCAATTACGGAGTCTCGCATTTCGAAATATATCTAGAGAAAATATCTTAACTGTTACAATTGCATTTGTAGCCTTATACTTTGAATGTTATTTATAATGAAAGAAGCTACATTATATTTGTGTACATGCCACTGTAGCTTTTTTGGAACTTCAAAAAATGCTAAAAGAGAAAGAAAATCTTTTCCAACAATTCAATCATTTTTTTCTCGATTAAAAACCCTCTTCATTCCCTCAAATAAACTAACTGTTACACTTTTCGATTAAACAGAAGGTGAGTGATTTATTTTATTGATGCCATCATAGTCGATCATATCAAAATTTTCATATTTAAAATTTTTATGTGATTTATTATTATCTACTTTATGGAAAATTTACTTACACTATATTTGATGCCTTTGTTTCTCTCAAGGTTTTGCTCGGTCATAAATTTAATGAATGAAGACATGGGCTTTTTAGGTTTTCCTAAGCCAGTCATTTTCTGAAAAAAGATTACGAATTATAATATTTTGATCGTTTTCGGATACTTATATTGTTGTATCTAAAAAAATATTTAAAATATTTTTGAGCGTAAAATTCAGGTTTTAGTTTTGTGTTTGAACATAAATTAGGTATTTAAAGAAGTATCAGATAAAAATTTTTATCCCCGATCTGTTGGACTATAGTGTTGACTGTTTAACTTCATACATAAAATCAAATTTTTTATAATCCCTTTTACCAATAGTGAACTAGTATAAGTTTGAATGGTGAGATGCATAATAAATCATTTAATTTTAACGCCATTTGGTTTATTATCTTTTTAGTTAAATACTATACTCTTTCAGCTATACTATGAAACAGCATATTTTTGCTATTTTAGCATTTTGGCAATGTGCGCGGGGTTCACATCAGAGTTTTTAAGATAGAAACCTCTGGTAGGGACCATAATTTTAGAAAAATATTCTTTATATCATCAAGTTTTCTGGAATTTTGTATTTAGACCATTATTTCAGTTCAACTATCCAATATATGCTTAATAACACCTATAAATTTTCTTATTTTCTGCTCTTTTCACCGCTGTTGGCGTACAAACTTTTGTAAAAAAAATTTTAACTTAAATAAAAATTCTAAAAAACTCAGTCTATAGGGGATATTTTTCTACAGATTTTAAAAACTAAACTTTCCAGGATAAGCAAAGTAAATAATTTGTACTTCATATATCATATTTTTATCTACGCATCACTACTGACCCACACGTAATCCGTCCTAGACGCCTGAATGACTCAGTACGTAAAGGCATCAGGCCTTTTGCCTGCTGAATCTGAGAGTGTCGTTAGGGCTCGGGTTATATTTTATTATTCATAAGGATATTAATAATATAATATAATATTAATTAATAATAATTAACGGAAACAATCCTGAGTATGCATCTGAATGAAAAATCAAGGAAACAGTCCTGTCAGCAACTAGGTTGTTATATTGAGTTTAAATTTTCTCAGCATTTTGCAACTGGGGTTGCCAATAGCTATAGGTCCATGGCTGGCTAGTCCGCCTTTCGAAGCGTGGAAAACCCCCAATCGCGTTGCACAGCGACCGGGGTTGGATCCAAGAAAGATGAAAAACCAGTGGTAATGCACACAATGTAGATGGGTCCATGAACCCCTAAACGTCGCATATCACTATCCGACAAATTGGGGTTGTATGGAAATGACCAACCACCGATGTGGCAGAAATGCCTAGCCCCGGCCATCACCAAAGTAATGTCTAACGACGGTTCCGGTGAGGTGCCACAAAAAGGGGCGAAAGGAAAAAAAACACAATCCTTCCTGTCATTTTAGATGCGCATGTGACATATTTTATCATTTGCATATTCACACGAGCAATCAACACCTTTACTCTATTACTTTTACTTCTGCTGAGTTAGTACTACGCTGCTTCTGTAGAGGGGCTAAATTTTTGTTTATCTTGTGATTTCAAAATTTTAACACCAGAGGCAACCCTATAACAGCATTAGTAGCAATAAAAGCGAATTATAGCCAATTGTGAATGCACTTAGATGACCAAATTGAATTTTAGAACGGAAAAATTAATGTCAGAAATGAAAAATCAATTGAGATTTAATTAGGGTAGCAAAACAATGGTAAAATTACTTCAATAATCGAAAGCAACAGTAGCAATTAGCACATATTGCTCTTTGTCGATTTTAGATACATGAAATCTTTATAACGACGTTTCTCCACGAAAAATAACACGTTAATGTGTTTAATTAAATAGAGAAGTGATAATCTTAGTAGGGAAGCGTCGAGAAGTACATAAATCATGTGTTGAAGGATTAAAATTTTAGAAAATGATACTTCGCGTGTTTGGGTTTCTTAAATAGAAAAACTAACTAATTCAATAAACAAATTGCAGATAAAGAGACAGAAGTTTTTCGACAAAGATATTTTGACAATAAAATAATTTAGTGAAGTAATTTTGACCAGGTTAGAAGCCTGAAAAATCTCAACTTTATTTTGGGACTTACATATACTGCTCGGTTACCATAGGAGGAGGGAAGGGGTATTGCTTATACTTTCAAGAATCATTTCTTAAAATTTGTTCTATTCGCTAGACTTTAAGAATCATTTTGATACCTTTGTTTAGCACATGGTTAAATAATACTTTATAGCACTGCGTGGCATAAGTTCACATTTGTGGCACGCTTTTCGGTGGCATAAGTCGCACATTCGGGCACCGCTGCGTTCGCATCGCACTCGCATAAGCTCGTGCGCTAACCTCACTTCGCGTTACCAAAAAGTGCGACTTATGCATCAGAAAAGGGGGCATAAATGTGAACTTAGCACAGTGCTATAAAATGTTGTACGATACTCGTGACATAGGGGACACTTCGGCTCAGCTATTAGGAGCTCGCTGCGCTCGGGCCCTAAACTACGCCGTGCCAAAAAGTGTTACTTATGCCACTAGAATGGTAAAGTACTATTACGGCACTGTGCGACAAGTTCGCATTTGTCACGCTTTCCACTTAATTGGTTTTCAGCAAATATTCCCCATCTCACTATGATTTTAATTATTAATAACAAGCTCGAATTCATTATTAATGAATCATTAATAGGAGTTTCCAAGTTTATCTATGAAAAGTGAATTATCTTTAAAAAACACTAATTTGCCTTCATCAACAAAATTAATGATAATTCTTAAATTTGGATAATTAAATTAACTATTTATTCTCAGACGCAACATTTTTCCTGCAATAGGGTTTCATAAAGTCTAAATAAGCTTTAAAAGTCTTATAAATGTCCGGATTTTGTACTCCTAATTAATGATTTTTAAAATTTCTAAAACCTTGTGGAAATTCGATTTTTTTGTCAAAAGTTTTTTTTTCATTTTTTTTCTATACTGTTCACATGGTTGCCCATATAGTTTCAGTGACTTTTAGTAAGCATTGATACTAATCAAAAATGTTTTTAAAGCTATTAAAAATTTTCATCAACACTTAATAACTCTTTAAAATAATTAAAGTAGCTAGTAAACATTTTTTTAATTTAATATGCAGTTGCCATATCCATCAAAATATTTTGAAAATCAAATAACATGTTTCACATAGATTTTAAAAATTCATTTATATCGATTACAGTTTTAGTAAAGTTTTATAAACTCTTCAAAATCATTGAACAAAATCTGTATATTTATAAGACTTAATAAGACTTATTCAAACTCTTGAAGAGTTTTTGAGAAATAGTGTGAAGATGAATTTTGGTAGGGGTTAATTGTGTCGAAATTCTTATGACTCAAGCATCCCATAATCTATAATTAATACTAGTATGACCTACACATTCATTGGATTGCTGATAGCACATTCTTTCAATTACTGATAGCACATTCATTATTTTTATTGCTTTTCAAAAATCATTGTTATATTACAATACAGAATTTTTAGATGTTGGAAATTATTGTGGAAGATATTCTATTGCTTTATTACAAATTCAGTTTATTACCCAGAATAAAATGGCATTATTTTGTTTCGGGTAAAAAATTGTTGTAACATCTGATAAATAATTTACAACCTATTAACATTATCAATGACACTATGTTTGTTCATGAATTTTTCTTCTAACCACAGGCTATTTAGTCATAATATATATAATAATTAGTATGTATTATAATTTTGTCAATCTTTTTTATATCCAAAGCTATTAATAAAAAAATTACCTTGTTTAATTCAGTGAGTTCTTCAGAAAATTTCTGGTCTTCTTTTTTTTTTTTTATAACATCACGTTGTTCTTGAGTTAAACTTTGTTTGTAAGCTTTTACATTTTGATTGTAAGACATAATTTCTAGAGAATATTGTTCTTGAAGTGCTTTTTTTTTCTGTGGGTCAATATTAGACCATTCTTGAGCTGCTAACTTAACGACTTGATGTGGTTTCAAGTGTTCTTTATCACGAGTAATGGCCAATCTTGTGTTTTGAAGAAATTTAAAATATGGGTTTAAAGGACGTTTTGGAGGTATTGGTAAATTCAATGTTTTATAAAATTTATATGATATAAAGGATTTTTGGGACAAATCACCATTGACTTTTTTCCTGAAAAATATTTACAATGTATTAATATCATTCTATATCCCTTATTTTATCTCTTAAAAAGCTATTGTCTTTAAATTTTATGGTTCCAATATTGTCTATAAATTATTATAATATTTCAAATATGAAACAAGATTTTGACAAGGTTAAGAGAGGATTAAAGATACTATAAAAGAAGTATGCATGTATTTTACAAAACAAACATAAATTATGATCATTTCTAGATTAATTTGAACTATTGACTGTCATTTTTCAGAAATAATAAGTTATTGGTTTGGACTACAAAATTAAATGCCTTAATATTGTTTTGTGAACCTTTTTCCTATAAAAATCTAATTGAATTAATCTGGCTATATATGAAATTTTGTATTTCTCATGTAAAAATTGATTAGATCCACAACATTGATTTATAAAAATAACACCAATTGTTTTACTTTTTATCTGTTTCTTATGATTTTAAAAAATATCTAAAAGAAGATATACACTGCTGACTTATTATACATTTTTATAATAAATGCAAATTGAGACAACATTAATCATTTATGGAATGAAGTATATAATAATATTCCCGTAGACCAATTAATATGTAAAATATATGAAAATATGAAAAAATATATAAAAGTATGTATATATTTATATTTGTATATTAAAACATTATGACTAAAAAAAGTATGAAAAATTTATATCAATGCAGTGTATTGAAAAGTACTCTAAAATACACAAAAAATTTCCTCACCTAAAAAATGAAAATTCTGATTTTTGGTTACCCATTAGTAACCTCTTTGTGAGTGTAATCATTGTTGTTTCTTAACGAGTACAATTGAAACGATTCAAATTTTTCGTTAAACTGTAAAACGTTTAGGTAAGTGAAAAATTAACATACTCTAAAATAGGATTTTTCGAGGGTAAACAGATACATTAGCCATTAATGTACACACTACGCTCAAATTCATGAATAATTTTGATGAGTTCGTTGACATACAAACAAGCATACTGTTATGACCTAAACACGAAAATGATTAAGAATTGTGAACTGCAAAGAATTTAACCCTTATGATACAAAAAAATAGAAAATTGCAGCCAAAAATTAAAATCCTAAGTAAATTATGAATTCGTTGTAGAAGATCCTACAAGGGAATCAAAGTCAAAGTAAGTTAACAATTAAATCGAAAAACATAAATATTCAAAATTAAAAAAAATTAAAGAAAGTTTCAAAAAGATAATCTAACCACTTAAAATCTTCAGAATCATTTCTAGGTGTAATTTTTCTTTCCGAAATGATATATTTCACTTTTTTTAATTTTGAATAATCGTTTTTTAATAAAATTGGTAATTGCTTGGGTTTTACTGCTTTTTTGGACATTTTTGCTGTTCAATTTTTAGTTTACTTGTATTTTTAACTTTTTTTATGATTTTTGTTGGCGTTTCCCGTTCATTTATTAGCTCTAGATTAGGTATTATTTTTATTATGTATTTAATTTTACTCGGTTTTGTTAATTCTATATAATTCTGGAGTGAAGGGATACTGATCATTGAAATCATTGTCGACGGCATGGGACCAGCAGTGCTCTAAATTTTTATGTGGAGTGCCCCTAACGCTCTCAGTTTACCTTTTACTTTGACAGTAACTCTATGTGATATGTTAAATTATCAACAAAGACTAATGTAATATTTTCCTGAAATATTATAAGTTTGTAAATTAAATTTTTTTACACAAATATTCAGTAATGACTATGATGTCTCGATCTGTGCGTGCCGAAACTCGGAGTAGAACCAAGGATGATTTGAAGCGAGTTATGCAAGTTGTTGATAAAGTTCGTCACTGGTAAAAAATTTATTTATTAAATTCAATATGATTAACTTGGTTTTTCATATTTATTTAAATTTGGATGAAAAACTTTAAAAATATTAAGTGATCGATCTACTCAAAACTAAATTACTTTTAAACTCTAAACATTTAGACATTTGGAAATGTTTATACATCGTCATTTTACTTAAAAGCTAACCTTAAATCTAATATATTTTTGGTAAATGGACTGGAAATAGTTGGTTCCATTAAATTAAAACTTAATTTCGAACTATTACCTTATAAAATTTTAAATAAAAAATTAAAATTTGAAGTATCCAATTTTTGAACTTGTATTAAAGTGAAATTATAAGTGAAATTGAATTAGAGTGAAATTTTAATATAGTTTATTCATTATCTCTTTTGATACAATTTATATAATACAATTTTCAGTTTAAATGATAAGTTTCTGCATTAAATCATCATATCAAAGTTATTTCTTTAGAAACATTGAGATAATTTGGTTTTATTATACATTAATAGATTAATTGAATAAGATTGTCAAGAAATGAAAAACATTCTTAAACTTATAATTTTTAACTTTTTAAATGTCCTTTACAATAACTTACATCAAACCTCGTGAGCGTTTGCTAAAAAAAATTATTTATCTATTCTCAAAATATTTGATAGATTTCTGTACTTGGACAAAAGTTCACTATTTACTATTTGACGAATGATGTGGTTGGTTTACTAATAATTTCTATACTAAATTTTATTCTTCAATTATAATTAGTAATGATATTGTTTTTAATACTGCATCATTTTTACACTTACAATATTTACCTCATATCATTATGAAAGATAAAAGCGGTTTTTTTATTTCAAGTAGATTATGAATTCTGTAATATGACATCAGTATATCACAAAAAATAAGTTACAAAAAACATTATTTCTATGAATTAAATCTATCAAACTTTTATAAGCTTTGCAAAGGTTGCCAATAGAAAATTTTGAAGACATATTACTTATGCTTTAAAGTTTTTATGATAGTCATTTATCCTATTCTAAAAAATATATGAAGTATTGAAAATCAAAATAAATAATCTTTTGGAACTCTTTTGAAAATGATTAAAAGTAATATCAGACATTTATCGTACAACCTATGCACATCATTCTTAGTTATCGATTCTATAGATTAAAAGAATTAATCGAAAGATGTTGATGACAATTTTTAATTTGTAACAAGTAAATGTTACTTACAAATATTCCAGAAATGTATCTAAATTAATGCATATTAACAAATTTCATTGAAAAAAATTAAAAACGCACTAAAGTCTAAAATTTCTATCAAAATATTCTAAAGGAATTGATGCACAAAGTTATTTCTTGTGCAAATACAAGCCCCTTATATACCCGGCGATAGGCAGCGAGAGTAGAGTGGGGCAGGCGGCTGATCAGGCCGCCTGATCTGTGGGTTTTACCCAAGAGAACCGGTTTTTTTCCGGCGTAGCCGAAAAGAGAAGTGAAAAACCCGAAGTACTTGTCTAAGACTCGTCGTGCACGTCTGCATGTGATACCTCGAGAATGCATCGATAAATATGGTAATTAACTTTTATTATTTTGTGTACGCACAAGATCGCAGAGTCTTGTCATAGTTTAACTGCTCACCCAAAATTGCAAGCGCGAACGAGATCGCAGAGCCTTGCCATAATCAAATCTTTCCGAAATTACTAGCGCGAACGAGATCACAGAGCCTTGCCATAATTAAATAATCAATCTCTTCAAAATAACAAGCACAAACGAAATCACAGAGCCTTGCCATAATTAAATCTCTTCAAAGTTCAAGCGCGAATGAGATCGTAGAGCCTTGCTACAATCAAATCACAAGCGCGAACGAGATCGCAGAGCCTTGTCATAATCTCTCCAAAATTCAAGCAGGTTCTTACCTTTATCATAAGTCGTGTTACCTGCGGGACTCCAAATATGGACTCGAACTTTAAAGTTGACTGCGAGATAGCGCTGCTTCTTTAGTCGGTGCAGAGGCTGAGGCTTTCACAGTAAATGACCTATTTAAAAATGATTGTAATGTAGAGTTGAAACTCGGATTCCACAATGTTTGTGGGATGTGCAAGCCAAATTGCGTGCAATTTTTTTTTTTTTTAATTTATTAAATTATTCAATTTGAAAATTTAAAATACTATATAATATGAAAAAAAATTTAATACAGTGGGGTCTCGTTATACGCGGGGGTTACGTTCCTCAAAAGTACCGCGTATAACGAAACCGCGTATAACGGGACCTTACGCTTATGGGAAATAGGGGGTTACGTTCCAAGAATTCGAAAGTTGGTAAAAAAAAAAAAATTTTATTTATAAATAACATAAAAAATTGTCATTATTTTCCAAAATAATCCGTCAATTTTGACTGCTTTGATCTTCTCAAAATATCTCTGTACAATTCTTCATAAATTTGGACTGCCGAATCACACAAGCGCAATCATAGCGCAAATCACACAATGTTTGGGCACTGTCACGAATTTTCTTTTCGTTACCTCGAATGGAGCGAATCGTTGACTCATTAACATCGAAACGTCGAGCAATCGCAGCAACTTTTTCTCCATCTCGCAGCAAATTTAGAATTTTTAATTTATCTGCCAAAGACATGACTTTTCTATTCTTTTTTGATGTCGTTTTTCTTGGAGTTCTCATTGGACTTGGCGGAGCCATGATTTTAAATTCAAAAATAAAACTCTCAAAAACAGTGGTAAACGATATCAAAATAAGGTTACAAAAAACCAAAAACAAAAGTTCGAAATGAACATTGCGTCGAGTCAATCCGCGTATAAGGGTGATTTTTTCCGCGTATAATGAGGGGTCGGCGCAAATCACAATCCGCGTATAAGGGTAATCCGCGTAAAATGAGACCGCGTATAACGAGGGACTCCTGTAAATGTTTTATTTTTCATAAGATTGCGTCATGCACCAGGCATGCCGTGTATATAGCGTAATTGTAGAACAGCTATATTATTAGTTAAATATTATTCCCTTATTAAGTCATAATAAATAAAAATTAAACGATTTCCACGAGGGTAGCCCTCCAGAAAAATATTCAAACACAAATGCGGTTAAATTTAATCTGTTACTTGTCGTCAGCAATTTTCCGCTGACCTTTTAAAGAAAATTAAAATGTATGAAGCACCCACCCACTACGGGTAACAACAAGTCAATGAAGAGATGAACATTATGTAGAAACATGGAGTTCCAACGAATCGACTCAGAGTAATCAGACATATTGTTATAGACATATTATTAGACTTAAACATATTGTTTTCTAAATGCTATATCAAACATATAGCAGCACTGACAAATAAAAAAAAAGCATCTTTATTTATTAAAACATGACATTATCTTATTTCGAATTTTGAATACCTGTCATTACGTTTGAGTCATGTGACATGTCACCGCGTCTGGTTTCCACTCTTGATATCTTTTGAAAATGCTTGGTGACCCCCATTTATAATCATAGCATTAGAGAGCTTATAAAATTTACTTTCAATGATATAAATGTATGGTGGACAAAAAACTGCGACTCCTCGTAAGAGCTCGCTGCGTTCGCATCACACTCGCATACGCTCGTGCGCTAACCTCACTTCACGCTACCAAAAAATGCGACTCATGACTCAGAAAAAGGGGCATAAATGTGAACTTAACACAGCACTATAAAATGTTGTACGATACTCGTGCCATCGGGACACTTCGGCTCAGCTATTAGGACCCTCGCTCAGCTCGGGCCCTAAACTACGCCATGCCAAAAAGTGCTACTTATGGCATTTGTATCAAAAAGTACTATTATGTTATAAAAAAAACTACATTGATATAAAAAAACTTTAATTAAATTTGATTCTAGGGAAAAGAAATGGGTAACTATTGGTGAAACAACAATGAAAATTTACAAATGGGTGCCTAAATCAACGTTAGATCAAGTAAGTTACCTTGATTGTATTATTCGTAGTATCTGATATAGAATAAATTATCACATCATAAAAATATATTCATATTAAACTGATCCTTTTTTTCCTAAAGTATTTTATTCTTCACTTCAGATACTGAATTATGTTCATAGGGAGTTAAGTAAGAAAAATGTGACACTGGGTTCATAAACTAATCGTAAATACGGACCATAACTCAAAAAACCGAAATCTATTATTAATAATGAACTTGCCTAAAATATGAAAAAATAGACACCCGTTATTAAGACTTTTTTGTATTTTTTTCGCTTAAACCGTGCAAATAAATCATAAAAATTAAAAACGTGCTGATAAAAAATTAGATCAAAAAAGCAAGGTATGAAAAAACTCAAAATTAGTCACAGAATACTCATAAATCATAACAAATTTTTTTTTCGTAGTTTTTTAATTAGTGGTTCAGTTTTCAGTTCAGCTCGTGTTAACAATCTGCTTTTAGACTATGCTGCTATGAGACCCCCAGATCACTGATCTTTTTCAACTTTTTTTGGGGGTCTCCTGGTAAATATTAACGAGGCTTCCTAGAAAATTGCGTAGATAGATCCATTGGACCTGAACGCCAATTTTAAAACAATTTCAACTTTATTCAAAAATTTTTGTGATTTTCGAACTTGAAACACAGTAGCTTGAATGAAAAAACGCCTGACTACCTAAATTTTTTAAAATTCGATCCTATACATTCTTTTCCTGTAATAATATTTTTAATTATGAAAATTATTAATATTATTATTAATATCTATTATAATAATGTATTGATATATGGGTCATTCTCCTAATTTTTTAAAAAAACGTGCACGGCGATATTTCCAAAAAATCCCCAAAAAATATGTGTATAATAATACTATAAAGAAAGACTTTTCCCAAATTTTTATCCCGAAAAAAAATTTTTGAGGTGCATAGCGACAAATGAGTGTCGAAAAACGTGTTTTTTTTTCGCTTTTTTTTGGTAATTCATGAAAAATTCTACCAGGAAGAGTAATGACTCGTCAGAGGCGTGGTTGGAATCATTTTTTTCGTCTCAAATATTACTTTTTGAAAAAAAATTGACAGTTGAAAAATTGAAATATTCAAACGGCTCTACAGCAGTCAATTTTGAAGCGATCGAAACTCTGAAATAGGTAATTTAAAGGTATTTTTTATACCTTTTATTTTCAATTCTACAAAAAAGTTGAAAACATTATGTTCAAAGTATTTTTCGACGAGAAAACCAATGGTGACCTTGGATTTGACCTTGTACTTAACCTCTAAGCTACAGTGAACCATAATTGATTTTTCATACAGTAACCCCCATTTTTTATTGCAGATTTGAAAAGAGTGGAAAATTTCTCGTTCGTGTTATTTTTTTATGAAACCATTGTCAAATTAACGTAAAAATAATACATATTTATGGTTAGTTAGGTTTACGATATATGTAACTGTTTCAAAAATACATTCGTTTAAACAAAAAAAAACGTAGTTTTTGAATATTTATCTTCCACGATTTTCAATTATATGTAAAAAAAACCCTTTATTATCATCTGATGGCTCAATACTTATTACATTAAGTCCAAACACCTTGAAAGTATTTGGACTTATACTTTTCCATGTCCTGAACAAACGTAGAAGAGTACGACACTCTGTTGGAATTGTTGATTTGGCAAGGATAAAAGAATTGAACAGATAACACAATATATGTTCTCTTGAACAATAAAACTTTTGTTTCATTTAAACTGCACTTCACTGTGCACTCTGCACTTTAACAGAATATGTAATCTACAAATGTCGAACTCTTAGAACGTAGGTAAGTAGAAGGAACAAAAAAACAAAGTAATTAATTTTTGCGAGATGCGCTCTACTTAGTGGGTCGCTGCGGCAGAGGCACGCGTGTGTTCGCGTGGAGGAGAGAGAGACTCGTACGTATTGCGTCGCGCTGTCGCCTTGTCCACAACTACTCTTTTCACACACTCGCACATACGGCTCGCACAGAATCTGGCAGATACGGCCATCTATGCATCGCCGACACACTCCATCTCTATTGGCTCACTGTCAAAATTCAAATAAACAAACTAATTAGAGCCATAGTATGCGCCAATATGAAGTGTAACGGTACAAGTTACAGCGGAAAATGGTAAATAATAATTGCGTTGGTTGCGCTAGCGACCGGGTCCGAGTTACCTAGAAATGGAAATAAAAGGGGGAAGGCAATCACAGAGACTAGTGAAATTAAATGAAATAGATAAGATAAATTATTATTAACAATAAAGGGTAAGTTACAGCCGTGCTAAGGACGGCGAATAGGTACAGTACCACGGCACGCGCGAGTGTTCGCTTAAACCAGCGAAGGTGAGTCGCAATCCAATGAGAGAGAGAGAGATCGATGCGAAAACTGGCACTTACACGTAGTTGCCTCCGATTGTGACTCCGCGGCCCATCCACGCTGGATTGCAGGGCGTACACACACACACACATACACACACACACTCGCTCGCAATGCACTCGTTGGACTCGTTTTACTCACGCGGCGCGATACGACGCGACGCGACTACAGCGGGCTGCGACAAAGTAAAATCTCTTTAAATTTCGTGCAAGCGCGACTTGCTTACAGTCTCCAGCTTCTCTCGTAATTTCTTACGACGCGCTCGCGTTTCGCGCAGTCTCTTTGCTCACGTGATTTTATGTCTCTTTCTCTCTCTCTCTCTCTCTCTCTCTCTCTCTCGTGCGATCTGCCGTGGTCGCGCTTCTGCACCTGTAACCAAATCTCACGTATAAGTAAAACATATTTTGATATTGGCTTTGGGGGAGAGAGCGACGAGATCTTGTCCAGATCCTCGTCACAGAAGTTATGAATAGAATAAAAAGGAACAATATTAAAAAAATACAGCCTCTTGTCTTTGATTCTCATTTACCTTCTTCTGACTCGCAATCGGACCTATTTTATACATTTAAATGAATTTATTAGAAGAAAGAAAATGATGATCAACGACAAGGGGTTGTATTTTTTAAATATTGTTCCTTTTTATTCTAGTTATAACTTCATATTGGCGCATACTATGGCTCTAATTAGTTTGTTTATTTGTATTTGGACAGTGAGTCAATAGAGATGGAGTGTCGTACTTTTCTACGTGTGTTCTAGACATGGAAAAAGCACTGGGTACAAGTCCTAGTGCTTCCTATGTGCTTGGACTTGATTTAATAAGTATTGAGTCATCAATTGATAATAAAGTGTGTTTTTACATATAATTAATTAATATTTGAATATTGCATGTGGGTTGTACTTCTTCTACAGGCCTATGAGATCAAACTAAACCTACTGGGCATATTTTCTAGGTGTACAGAGTACCCTCACTAGGTTTGGGCCAGATCCATGACCCGTTGGTCTCCGTGTAAGTGAAGCCCGAGTGTAACATGCGGGTATACACAATAGGGGTTTCAGTCGATATTAGTATGTTAAATTATTATTTTTACTGCAACAGATCACCGAATCAATGTAAAAAAATGTCGACCGATGGTTGTACGTGCTGGTTAGAAGAGGTTAAAATTTATCAAAGAATACGACCTAAATTCCACGTTTTTCTTAGGGATTTCAGAGACCTCTGAAAAACGGTTATAGGAGGTTTCAAACATTCAGACGTATTGGCGTATTTGGCGTTTTTTGCATTTTTTTATTTAGGAGCTTCTATAGCGAGATAAACTCCGTAAAGATTTTTAATAAAATCGATTATCATTTTTAAAATGGGCCCTGAGGCCCATGAAATTTATTCGAGCACAGGGAACTTCACACATTTAACACAAACTGTGGTAGGGTAATAATTTTTAGTATGTAATCTCCTTTTTGTTTTTTGATATCTGCATCTCAATAAAAAAACTTGAAATAAAATCTTAAAAATCTTATCAATGGGAGGGTTATACAATAGTATAACGAAAAATGTCTTTTTTCGCCCATTTTTCAGTGCGCGAAAAGCGTTTTTGGATACTGGTGTGTGGTAACATTCCTCATTTTGGACACTGTTAAAATGCCTTGTTTAAAATTAAGGTGACTCTTAACCTAAACATTTTTTCATACAGGGTCTTCAAATTTTGGAAGAACATTAATGAGTAATTCAACAATCTCTCTGCAAAATTTCAGACCCGGTTGTCATGCTAATTTTCAAGAATAAAGTCATCGAAAGTCATTGAAAATGGACTGTTTAACACGGCGTGTATGGGCGTACATCTCGTTTTGGACGCTTCTTATTGAATATCTCTCAAAATATATCATACAGCTATTCAAAAAACTGATAGTATAAAGTTGAAAGTTTAAGCTTTCGATTGATATATAAAAAAGTTCATGTTGTCATGCTAATTTTTCCAATATTCGTCCGAGAAAGTGAATTTTTATGATTGCGATGAGGTTGGGTTGAAAAGCCTTGTCAGCCGGAAGACACAGTAGAAGCGCGCGAAAATTTGAATTCGAGTAGTATAGTAAATACAAATTTTTTAAATGAAACTATGTAAAAGTGTATTTAATAAATATATAAAAATTTTTTTGAACGTTTTTAAATTTAAATATTGTTATAAATTTTTATAAATAAAAAAAATTCTTCATTGAAGTCAATAAAACATTTGTTGAAAAATTTAATATTTTTTATTGATTAATAATATTACATACATTAATCGAAAATACTGTACAATTGTCTCAGCACCTTTACGTCTTTGCTCACTCGTGGTTTACCGTTAACGTCTTCCGCGAATAACATAAACAAGCCGTCTTTTCCACTTTTTTTTGAACGCATTTTCGATAGATTCCTTGTTTATTCCCGACGTAGCTATTCTATTAAAAATTTTGGGACTAAATACATTTTTATACTCTTTTAAGCTAACTTTATTTAATTCTACTAAATTTTTTTGGTTTTTTTCTGTGGATATTTGATACCAACTCTTTGCATACCCTTTTATAATACTTTCAGGACCTATCAGTTCAAGTAATAAATTTTTTAAAA